CTCATCAAGAAAAAAGGGAGAATATTCAAATCAATAGAACTAGACATGAAAAAGGAGAAGTAACAACTGACGCTGCAGAAATACAAAGGATCATGAGAGATAACTACAAGCAACTCTATGCCAATAAAATGGACAACCTGGAAGAAATGGACAAATTCTTAGAAATGCACAACCTTCCGAGACTGAACCAGGAAGAAATAGAAAATATGAACAGACCAATCACAAGCACTGAAATTGAAACTGTGATTAAAAATCTTCCAACAAACAAAAGCCCAGGACCAGGTGGCTTCACAAGTGAATTCTATCAAACATTTAGAGAAGAGCTAACACCTATCCTTCTCAAACTCTTCCAAAATATAGCAGAGGGAGGAACGCTCCCAAACTCATTCTACGAGGCCACCATCACTCTGATGCCAAAACCAGACAAAGAGGTCACAAAGAAAGGAAACTACAGGCCAATATCACTGATGAACATAGATGCAAAAATCCTCAACAAAATACTAGCAAACAGAATCCAACAGCACATTAAAAGGATCATACACCATGATCAAGTGGGGTTTATTCCAGGAATGCAAGGATTCTTCAATATACGCAAATCAATCAATGTAATACATGTTGCTCAATAGATGCAGAGAAAGCTTTTGACAAAATTCAACACCGATTTATGATAAAAACCCTGCAGAAAGTAGGCATAGAGGGAACTTTCCTCAACATAATAAAGGTCATATATGACAAACCCATAGCCAACATCGTCCTCAATGGTGAAAAACTGAAAGCATTTCCACTAAGATCAGGAACAAGGCAAGGTTGCCCACTCTCACCACTATTATTCAACATAGTTTTGGAAGTTTTAGCCAAAGCAATTAGAGAAGAAAAAGAAATAAAAGGAATCCAAATCGGAAAAGAAGTAAAGCTGTCACTGTTTGTAGATGACATGATACTATACATAGAGAATCCTAAAGATGCTACCAGAAAACTACTAGAGCTAATCAATGAATTTGGTAAAGTAGCAGGATACAAAATTAATGTACAGAAATTTCTTGCATTCCTATACACTAATGATGAAAAATCTGAAAGAGAAATTAAGGAAACACTCTCATTTACCATTGCAACAAAGAGAATAAAATATCTAGGAATAAACCTACCTAAGGAGACAAAAGACCTGTATGCAGAAAATGATAAGACACTGATGAAAGAAATTAAAGGTGATAAAAATAGATGGAAAGATATACCATGCTCTTGGATTGAAAGAATCAACACTGTGAAAATGACTCTACTACCCAAAGCAATCTACAGACTCAATGCAATACCTATCAAACTATCACTGGCATTTTTCACAGAACTAGAACAAAAAATTTCACAATTTGTACGGAAACACAAAACACCCCAAACAGCCAAAGCAATCTTGAGAAAGAAAAACAGAGTTGGAGGAATCATGCTCCCTGATTTCAGACTATACTGCAAAGCTACAGTAATCAAGACCGTATGGTACTGGCACATAAAAAGAAATATAGATCAATGGAACAGGATAGAAAGCCCAGAGATAAACCTACACACATATGGTCACCTTATCTTTGATACAGGAGGCAAGAATATACAGTGGAGAAAAGACAGCCTCTTCAATAAGTGGTGCTGGGAAAACTAGAGAGCTACATGTAAAAGAATGAAATTAGAACATTCCCTAACACCATACACAGAAATAAACTCAAAATGGATTAAAGACCTAAATGTAAGGCCAGACACTATCAAACTCTTAGTGGAAAACATAGGCAGAACACTCTATGACATAAATCACAGCAAGATCCTTTTTGACCCACCTCCTAGAGAAATGGAAATAAAAACAAAAATAAACAAATGGGACCTAATGAAACTTAAAAGCTTTTACACAGCAAAGGAAACCATAAACAAGATGAAAAGACAACCCTCAGAATGGGAGAAAATATTTGCAAATGAAGCAACTGACAAAGGATTCATCTCCAAAATTTATAAGCAGCTCATGCAGCTCAATAACAAAAGAACAAACAATCCAGTCCAAAAATGGGCAGAAGACCTAAATAGACATTTCTCCAAAGAAGATATACAGACTGCCAACAAACACATGAAAGAATGCTCAACTTCATTAATCATTAGAGAAATGCAAATCAAAACTACAATGAGATATCATCTCAAACTGGTCAGAATGGCCATCATCAAAATATCTACAAACAGTAAATGCTGGAGAGGGTGTGGAGAAAAGGGAACCCTCTTGCACTGTTGGTGGCAATGTAAATTGATACAGCCACTATGGAGAACAGTATGGAGGTTCCTTAAAAAACTAAAAATAGAACTACCATATGACCCAGCTATCCCACTACTGGGCATATACCCTGAGAAAAGCAGAATTCAAAAAGAGTCATGTAGCAAAATGTTCATTGCAGCTCTATTTACAATAGCCAGGACATGGAAGCAACCTAAGTGTCCATCGACAGATGAATGGATAAAGAAGATGTGGCACATATATACAATGGAATATTACTCAGCCATAAAAAGGAATGAAACTGAGTTATTTGTAGTGAGGTGGATGGACCTAGAGACTGTAATACAGAGTGAAGTAAGTCAGAAAGAGAAAAATAAATACCGTATGCTAACACATATATATGGAATCTAAAAAAAGAAAAGAAATGGTCAGGGGCTTCCCTGGTGGCGCAGTGGTTGAGAGTCCGCCTGCCGATGCAGGGGACACGGGTTCGTGCCCTGATCCGGGAAGATTCACATGCCGCAGAGCGGCTGGGCCCGTGAGCCATGGCCGCTGAGCCTGCGCGTCCAGAGCCTGTGCTCCACGACGGGAGAGGCCACAGCAGTGAGCGGCCCGCATACCGAGAAAAAAAAAAAGATGAAAAGAACCTAGGGGCAAGACAGGAATTAAGATGCAGACCTACTAGAGAATGGACTTGAGGATACAGGGAGGGGGAAGGGTAAGCTGGGACAAAATGAGAGAGTGGCATGGACATATATACACTGCTGAATGTAAAGTAGATAGCTAGTGGGAAGCAGCCGCATGGCAGAGGGAGATCAGCTTGGTGCTTTGTGACCACCTAGAGGGTTGGGATAGGGAGGGTGGGAGGGAGGGAGATGCAAGAGGGAAGAAATATGGGGACATATGTATATGTATAACTGATTCACTTTGTTATAAAGCAGAAACTAATGCACCATTTTAAAGCAATGATACTCTAATAAAGATGTTTAAAAAAAAAGACCACATGCAGCCAAAAATAAATAAATAAAACAAATAAATTTATTTTAAAAAATTGAATACGATTCAATGTTATGCTATGTTTGAAACGTCAGGGTAGTGTTTAGTTCCTTCTCCCTTGAAGCTTATTAAACTCCTTACATAATGCATCTTGTAGTTATGAGTGGCAGCATCACGGTCATAAATGAAGAACCTGTTTCTAGAACTAGAAGAGATGCTGAGTCCTTAATTGCAAGATGCAGTAAGCAACCATGCTTGCTAAACATTTTCTCTCACTGGATTCATCCTTCTGCTCCTGAGACAAGGTGTTCTTCTATGAAATTTATTTAAACCAACTCTATTAGATATTGAGACCTCTATCTATTTATTATCAATATATTAAAGCCAAAAGAGAGCCTTAATAATCCTTCCATCATAGTTATAAGATTGTTAAGTAGTACTTTATTCCAAATTTGGCATGGTGAATCAGTGTTTATAATTACTCCCAAAATGGATTCTCATACTGAAATTCTTTAAAGACAATTTAAAATTACATCATGTACAATGGATGTGCTTGTAATTAAAATATTCTCTGACTCATTTTCTTTATATATCTTGTGGTTTGGACCTTATTTTACTATAAAAATTTAATTTTTCATCCTAGTTTTAAAATCCCTTGATGTCCTACTACGTGCAGCTCTGTAACTAAACAGAAAGATCAAAGAGTCTGTAGATCATGGGCAGGTTGGAACGGGACTCAACAGATTCTAGGTTTACATGTGTCAAATAAACAGAAATGTTTGCTAGGTCACATGGTTACCAAATAAAGGACCTTCCGGTTAGGTTTGACAGAGCTATTCTCAGGGGAAGGCAAGGTGCCCAAGTTGATACAATCATAAATAATATATAGTCACCAACTTTAAGAAGCTTATAATTTAGTAACAGGATAAGACAACATGACCTGAAATAAGCCTCAATAAGAAAACTGCCATGAAAAGATTCAAATGAAGAGTAATGGGGGATCGAAAATGGGAGTATCAGGGCTGAAGAATGAAGTTCAGTGATTAAGCAAGGATTTGAGAAGGAGGGATGGTCACCTTATGTGAAAGTTAGACTGTACCCACCACAGCAATAGACATCCTGATGAAGAAAATTTAATATTGTTATATGTGCTGATTCTTCTCCTATCTCTTTCATTTTTATGTTGTTTTGAATGATGTTAAAATTAATAGTGTTAATTTTAAATGCACTCTTAAACAATTATTATAAAATTGTATGAACTGAACAAATGCCCATAAAACCTAATCAGTCCCCATTAATTTAAAATTTGTGATAACTTGTATATCAAACATTTCTGTTGTCAAACACTTTTGCCAAGGTTACTATAATTTAAGAAGGAGATTTAAAATTTTACAAAAATAGTTTTCAGATACCCTTAAAAATTTTTAAAGGATACCTACATAATCAAATAATCTGCTAAGTACCTGTAATTTGCCTGTGTTTATTAGAATGGTTCATCTAAGAACTATCAGTTAAGCCTTAATAGCTCAGTTTTAGTTACCACGTATTCTTAAAAGTATCTAATTAATTTGTGTTTCTTTTAAAATATCATGTAAAACATTATGTAAAATTTAGAGTTTCCATCAGGTCTTAATGGAGTCTCCCATTTAGTTTGACTTAGTGAAATAATACTAGATAAAGGCCTTGAAAACTCATCTTCGCTTAAAGGGCATACAGTAGTCTCCAGGAGAGACTTCTTCCATCCCCCCATGAGCGATTGGTACCTGACCTTTCTGTCCTCTTCATAAGTAGACTTATGATCTACAAGTGCTAATCGTGGTTCAGGTCCCAGGTAAGAAAGCTGAGACTTGGACCGTTGCCGGATGGAAGCTCTGTAAGTAAACAGAAAGATGAATTAGCCTATAAATTATGGGCAGGTTGGAACAGGACTCAGCTGGTTCTGAGTTTACATCACTTATGTCAAATGAACAGAAATGTTTGCTAGGTTACATGGTAACCAGATAAGGGAGCTTCCTGATCAAGTTTGATAGAGCTATTCTTAAGGCAAAGCTAGTCAGTTTGGTTGCTGTGGACAGCAGGCTAGATCCTGATTCAGAGTATAACCGAGGAGGGAGAAAGAGAAGGGGGGCAAAGTTGTTCCACTAGTCCACCAAAAGAAGGTCCAAGACTCAAATCCATTCCAAACCCACACGGTTCTACTAATTGCTATAATGGCAATGGTCCATCACTGTTACCTCCCTTCTGTTTGTAGGTTGTAGTTTTGTTATCTCTCCTTCTCTCCCTCTCTCTCTTTCTCTTTCACCCTGATGTTTGCTTTAGCACAATGCGACCTGGATACAAATGGACCAGTAGGAGGAAAGAGGGCCACTAGTGAGGTTTTCTCCAGGCTATATACTGCCCATAGGGATGGATTCAGTTAACAAATCTCTTATTGAAATATAATTTAACTTGGTGTGTTCATTCATTCACTCAACAGAAGCTTACCGTGCACCTACAACATGCAAACCAGTGCCAGGTGCTTTGGGGGATACAAAGACTGGTCAATTACAGACTTCTCCCTAAGGGGCTTTATAGAAGAGCAGTGCATGCATCCAACCCTGATGTAAGGGAGAATGTGGTAAGTGCTATAAGGCAGATTTAAATAAACAGTATGGAAATTTAAAGGAAAAAGGAATGTATGTCAGGTGTTACCATAAAAGGTTTCACAGAGGAGGTGGTTAAAGTAGGTTCTGGGTATCTGTAGGCTGGAGGGAAGAGCATTGCTGAGTGACAGAACAGTATAAAGAGAAGCATGGAGACAGAGTTACTAGTTATGTATACTTAGTATAGAGCAGATACAGGAAGTAATTGATTCAAATTGTTTTGTTTTTTCCCTGAGATTTCTGGGAAGGAGACTCCTGCTCTCCTCTAGATTAAACTTGAAAGTATGTGACACTGGAAGCTGTTGGCAATTATGCCAAGGAAAGAAGCTTCCTGAAAAATGAATACTGAAAAATAAGTAGAGCAGAGAAGGAAAGAGAAAGAAACCGTATGTATCTTGGACAAATCATCGAAGCCCCAGCCTTACTTGATGCCAAAGCCTCCTTGGACTATTTATTGAGTTATGTTAACTTATTCTTTCCCTTTAAAGGTTAAACCAGGTTGGCTTAGGTTTTCAGCCATTTGCAAATAGAGTCTTAAGTGATAGAGGCAATCCTGAAGACTTGAGAGGATAGAAGTTACACTATCAAAGCACTTAATCTGAAGAAGTACGGCGTAAAGACAATGATTTAGAGATGAGGAGACCTGCATCGGCTGTGGTAGTGTGATCTAGATGGAGCTATTCGTAAGTCTCTCTCTGTCATCCGTATGCAGGTGAAGTTAGACTAAAACAAATACCAAGGTGGTGCCTGCCTATTATTGATGCTCATCTAGCCTTCTTGAGAAGGCAGCAACGCATCAACTGCATGACTCTAATTTGTTCCCATGTTCTGTTGATGGCATCGCCGTCCCCTTAGTCACCAGGTTCAACAGGCGCATTTATGTCAAGTCCTCCATCTTCCTTGCTCTTGCTCAAACTATTGCCAAGTCTCACTGTGATCAGGCATGAAACCACACCTCACCCCGATTCCCTGCTGCCACACTGGCCTCCGGGACACCCCAATCCCCTCCCACTTGGCCTGAAACTCTGCAGCAATAGAGTCATCTCTTTAAGTTAGGTTAACTAAGGTTGAGAGGTCATCTCCCAAAAGTGTGAGAAATAGGTATGTGTCAGCTAGAGAGAGCAGAGTGCATGACAGGGCTGAGACTTAAGGTTATGGGCCTAAATAGAAACTCAGAGCAGTAGAAGCCAAGGTAGGAGTATGTGCAGAAGAAGAGGGCATCAAAATATAGCTGCCTACAGCCCAGCTCTGAGCATGGAAGACCTTGATCCTCGTCCCCTCAAATTTCTACTATTTCATCTTATACTTCTTAAATCTCTCTTTCTCTCATTCCCTGTTGCCCACCATTCCACCTGTCTAGCATAAGCTGTCCCAGTGAGACCATGGGCAGTAAGGGTGTGAGACAGGGGCCTGACCTGCCCCCTCTGGCCTGCCATAAACACCAGCATTAGAATTCTATCACACCCCTTTTCAGAAACCTACAACATCTGCCCCTCCCTTCCTCAGAAGCTGAGTGCCACTTCCCACCACAATAAAAACAGCTAATTTGGGAATATATGTTCTCTCTGTCAACATTACTATTTAAGAAATTACTGTCATCCATGAAATTGCTCTTGAACCTAAAATACGTTACTAAAGAGAGACTTAGGCATCAGAAGGACTGAAGCCAAGGAAATATGATACAAATGAACATTTCAATGAGTCATCTAAAAAAAACGATCTGTCAGCATACACAATAAGATATTTTTAACAGACCTTCTTACTCAAACTTATAAATCTTTCTCTGCAGGAGGTTAATAGCTACTTTCTGTGTATAGGTGGTATTTCTGTGTTTCTCTTCCCAGTCACCCAGATGGAGAATTTGTGAGAACTAATAGCTAAATAGGAAATATTTATATTAAAAATGGTTATCTGTTCCTAACAGTAAACTGTAAGTAAACTAAGTAGAACGGGAAAAATTTTGTTCACCTGAAAAATTAAGAAAATATTAATTTTCTTGTTGACATGACCATGAGATACATCTCTTTGCAACCTTTAATTTAGTGATCAAAAGAGTTGCCTAGTCATTTTCTGTGTTTAAGAAGTTAGTTGGTATCTTCAGATTGTGATTCTAATGACCTTTATAATATTTTTTCTTCCAATCAGAAAAAAAGCTGGTTAAACATAATACCAGATGTCTATAAAAATTGCCTAACATTTTTGGCAATTTTTATATCTTTTATTTTACAGAGAAACATGAAGCTATTGTTTTATTACTTTCCAAATTCAAAAAAATTCAACAAAACTAGCATTTCTTAGAATTTTTCTGAATAGACTTGTTCTTAAAAGGAAAAATAAAAATCAGTGAATATTAAAAATAAGTAAATCTGTGTTTGAACTACTTGGAGTTGTTACCTGAATATTATATTTTAAGCTTCTTTAACCATTTTTCAATAAACAATTAGCTGCCTTGAATGAGCAAGTCCTAAACTGAGTCTTTGTTCAGAGCACAGCCTTGAATTAAATGTCCTAGAAATGGTAAACTCCATGGTGGAGAAATATGCTGTCAGTCTGTTGCCTACAAATAGTTTCCTACCTTAAGAAAAAAAGATCTTGAATAACATTTTCACAAATATAGACAAATACTCCTCGGCAGAATTATTCTTAATACATAGACTTTTAACATTAAAGGAACTATTTTTTTTAAACTTTTAAACCAGAATGAAAAGCTAAATTTATAGTCTTGCTATATAGCATGCTCCAAAAATATGCTTTGGAAGTCAATGCCCATGTATTGATCTAGGGGAAAAAAAATTCATGTTTAGGAAAATTCTCTTTAAACGTCAGACAATGACTCTCTTATTTCATCTAGTTAAAGAATGATTTGACTTTGGATAGGTAACTCTGGGAGCAGAAATATTTGTAATTCAATTACAGCTCAGCAGGTTGAAGAATGAAGCTAAAGGCATCAATGTGAACTCCATTTAAGACAGTGCTTCATACCACAGTTAGCTTTGGGAGACAAGTCTGAAGAGATTTTTTTAAAATCCCCTTTCTAAGCTTAATAAACAACGTTTTAACTACAGATTATCTTTATCATGACCCCTACCCTCAATAAAATGAGAAGCCAAATTTAAACAAAAAATCTCTATGAATTGGAGACAGAAATGTCAATATAGCAAGCAAGGATTCATCTGCATGTTCATTATTACACAAGACCTGGGGCTGTGCTTAAGTAAGGGCTCTCCAGGTTGTACCTGAGGTATTGCCAGAGGATCTTAGCTGCAGTGGGCTCCTAAGAACATCTGAAAACTTTAAAATCTGCCCCGAGACTTGAGCTTACCTTAAGCTAGCTTGGTAGCTCCCTCTGCTAAAGGTCTGTTTTCTCTCAAGTAAGGTATCTTCAGTTTCATCTTTTCCTATTCAACACAACACAAGTGATCCCTTAGTGTATACAATAAACAGAACCATATCAAAATAAAATTATTATTTACTATATTTCCCTAGCATATCATTACTATGTCTGATGCTAAAACAGTCTATTAACTTTATTGCAATAAATGAAAGTTAGCACTTGTCCAGCACATTCTAACAAAAACAACAACAAAAAAATCAAAATACTGAGCAAGATTGAATCTTTTGAACTATATGATAGCCTATGTGTTATCACCACAGAAATAGAAAATCTATAGATATAGCCGATATGAGCCACAAAAAAACTTATGAGAAGCCTACTAGAGGTGGCAAAAAAAAAAAAAAGATAGACGCACCAAGTTAAAAAACAAAACCAAAACTTTTCAGAATAAATCACATGTGTTAAACGTATACAGTCATTTTACCCAATAGCGTTCACAAATCCAGACGTGATATGGTACAGAAAGTTTGGAATGTTTGGTTAACGTAGGTTGAGGTAAACCACCAAACCTGAAAATTCAGATTGAAAAAGAGAAGGTACACTAGGGCCTGAAGTATCTATCTACATTAGTGAAAATAAGCATAAACCTTTTTAGCCATTGGTTAATTCACTCAGCCAACTAGAGGAGAGCTCCTACTGAGTGCAGGACACTCTAGGAAGACTCTCCTATTTGCAAACTGTGAGGGAAAAAAGGGATGGAATTGAAAGTTCTTCCACAAAAGACCTGTGTTTTAGCTCTATGACTTGATCAATAAATAAACCTCCTGAGCATTGTTCTTTCCTTTATCATCTATATAATGTCTCCCAGGGCTTTGAGGAGAACAAATAAGATACTGTATATTAAAATGCATAGAAATCCAAAAAACATTATATATAGCTAACTATTTAATATAATGTACAAGCATAATGGAAAAGGCACTTGCCCTTTATGTCTTTTTCATTAAAGGCTTGATCTCCTTGACTTTGCAAAGTCATTAGAGTGAAGTAAACTCCTTTCCTTTCCAACAGTTCTTCATGGGTGCCTCTTTCCACTGCTGTACCACGTTCAAAACCAATAATGACGTCTGCAGCTCTAACCGTGGATAGGCGATGAGCGACAGAAATGATTGTGAGCCCATGCTGAACCTGTAAGAGTGTACAGTGCACAGTTAAGCCAGACTGTAAGACAGAGCTGACATTGACATTTGGGCAGTCTCTGAATCCACAAGTAAGGCAGAGCCTCAGTTCCTGGGAAGATCCTTAAATAGGCTGTACAGACATTAGAAAATGCCAGCGTGCTTTCTTGTGGCTAATAAACATCATCACATCACATCACACCAATCAGCAACTGGTCCGGTTGCTGCTCTTAATCAACAGCTGAAAACCAAAATGGAAATTTCTTAAATCACATATTTTATGTTAGACTTAACAAGATTTAAAATTTTACACGTGCAGCTTTTAGAAGCACATCATAATGTCTTCCATTCAACTGTAAAGGAACATAGTGGGGAGCCAATATGTTCCAGATGGATACACTGACCCATGTATTCCTTCTCTGTCCCTCTTTCTGTCTCTCCTCTCTCCACAGCTGCCTTTCCTACAGCAACACAAGAATTTCCCCACAGACTTATGAAAGGAACTCAGACTTTCAACAAACCTTACTCAGTGCCTCTTGCACCACGGCTTCACTCTCATTGTCCAGTGCCGAGGTGGCCATGTCCAAAAGTAGGATCTTCGGGTTTCGGACAAGGGCTCTAGCAATGGCTAGTCTTTGTTTCTGGCCGCCACTCATCTGGCCTCCTCCTTCTCCAACAAGAGTGTCAAATTGCTAGGAAGAAGGTGACATCAGTAATGAAGAGGAAGAATTTGAAGGATCCTGACCGATTCTTTACAAAGGTCCTTTCTAGCTTCCTCCTCAAGCATGAATTTTCACAGGTCCGCCTTTCACTTAAAAAGACTCTTTCCTGAAACAGGATATTATCTAATCAATATTTGTGTATAAAATTAAGATATTGATTTATCCTTTCATTCTGGGATGTAAAAATGTTTCTCTTCAGCTCAACTTCAAATAAAATGTTTCCACCACAATAAAAGTGGATCAGGGTCCTGAAAATCCATCTTAGAGGATTAGAGCATGTATCAAAGCATTGTCTCTTTTCTCTAGCTAGACAACACAGGAAAACACAACGCTAAAACTGTCTATATGTTATGAATGAAAGATCAAAGTAGCTTTAAAATCATTATCATGAATAGCAAACAGTTACTGAGTATCTTGCGTGTCTAGCGTTACACTGGAATCTCACAATGGGGCATTGTGGTCAGACTTTTATCTTGCTTATTATTAGCCAACATGAGTTGCACCTACCATGTAGAAAGCATGAATCTGAGCCCTCTACACATATCATCATATTTAGTCCTCACAGATGCCACATGAGGTAGGTACTATTATTCTGCTCAACTGATGCATAAGGAAATACTGGGGCCTGAGGGGGCAAAGTAACTTGCCCAAGTTCATAAGGCTTGCAAGTAGAGAAGCTGGGATTTGTACGGAGGCAGACTGATTCTAAAGCTTTACACTTTTTAACCACTAGACTATATAATACTCACAGCTGAAATCCTATTCCTACAAACATTTTAGAAGGCTGAGTAGGAAGTATTCTAGAGCACGGACTCTGGAGCCAGACCACCTGGCTGAGATCCTTGTCTCTCCTGCCTTGAGCAAGTGGCTTGATCTCTTGGAGCCTCAATTCTCCATCGGTAGATGCGGATAATAATAGTAGCTGCCTGACAGGATGATTGTGAGAGTTAAATGAATTAACAGATGTGAAGTGCTTAGAACAGTGCCTGATACGCAGTAAGCACTAACCATGTGTAAACTAGCAATAATAACTCTTCCATTGAGCAGACCATTGGCCGCGAAATCCGTACAAGTATATTACTAGGGAGTTGGGTTTTGTTGTCGTGTTGCATAAAATGAAGATAAATGAGGAGATTTTGAATATGTGAGATACAGTACGGAAGACACAGTGTTAGCTGCCCAAGCACAAGAAAATTAAAGAGCAGTGACAATGATAGCCATCAAAAGGGCATTGTGAAAGTTACTGCCACATGACAAACTTATCATCCACTTAGACAAATGCTTAACAGACAGAATAAGGAAATTGTATCTGGGTCAAAGGAGCTTTTAAAAGAAAGCTACCCCAGTTTGGTAGGTTTTTAATATATTAACAACAATATATTTTCAGACAAAGGGGAGAAACTCAAGATACATTTCTGGGCATAAAATTAAAACATGACATTAAGATTTTAATAATTTAGGAATCAAATGAAAAGAAATGCACATTACTGTGTAATTTTTTTGCCTTCTATGACTTCTGGGTTTCCCTCTGGAATGAGAGGCTAGGGATACCTGTGGCAGGTCCATGATGAAGCTGTAGGCATTGGCTTCCTTGGCAGCTCGGACTATATCTTCCATCGTTGCATCTTCTCTGCCATAGCGAATATTCTCTGCAATGGTGGTGGAAAACAAAACAGGCTCTTGCTCCACTATCCCGATCTGAGCTCTAAGCCACTGAATGTTAAGAGAGCGAATGTCATGGCCATCCAAGGTCACCTAGAGAACAAGAATACAAGGTCACTTCTCTTGGAATCCTTCAGAGTTCTGAGTCATACTACTAGGCTGTACTTGACCTATGGGGAGAAAAAAAAGAGACCAACGAGATCGTAAAAGAAACAATTCCGCTTACAATGTGGCTGTTAATATAAGGATGACAACATAAATTGAAATCAAGTATAGCTGTAGGACAATTCACTGTAGAAACACAATTGGTATAAAGCTCACTTGATATAGTTTAACATGATTGGCCCAGGAGTAGAAAAGTTTTTAATTCCTTAATAAAGAGTAGAGTCAGTTATTCACCATACTTTGAATATTTTTATCTTTTGACTTGAGGCCAAAATGAACTTCAAAAGACACAATGAAAATAAGCAATGATCTCTATCTTGTATATATATGTTTAGAACAAAATCTTACTTTCTGGCCAGACTCATCAAACGACACTTGGCTGTTCAAAAGCAATTGAAACTGTAAGTGTGATAAGTAAATAAATATTACTGTTAGAAAAAAGTAAAAATTTTACATCAAGAAAACATGATTTCTATATATTCAGAACATAGTTATGGTGGTATGTAGCAAAGAATACCCAATCAGAGAACAAAGTGTCTGTGAAGAAAGAGAACCCTATCACATTTGCCATGTCACTCTGACAGTACATGCATTATATAGAGCTCATTGCATGGAAGTCATTTAATATACAGTCAAATGATCCTATCTAAAGGCATCAAGGAGATGTTGACAAGAATGATTTTGAGGCAGAGTGAAAAGAGCATAGCCTTTGGCATCCAACAGATCTGGGTTCAGATCTCAATCTCTCTCCTTCCTCATTTGCAAAACGGGCATATTTATCTTTGGAGGTCACTGTGAAAATAAGTGATGATTTTCATAAAGCACTTGACATATAATATTGATAAATAGCAACTATTAATATTTTTTTTTAGTTTCAATCTATGTTGATAGTCAGACAAACACAAGGAGAAAGAAACAGTAGTTTTTTAACCTAACTTCTCAAAGCAATAATCAAGAGCTGTTCTCTGTTAATTCTGGTCATGTAAGCTTTCTTATACTTAGCGTTTGGAGAACCTTAGGGAACAATAATAATTTTGTTACAATAAGAAGAAAGAAATGGAAATGTTCCCTCACTGAAGAGGCAGCAATACCATTTTGAATGTATCTGCACATTCAGTTGCATCACTGAGCATATGGGCCGGTTATTTATCGAACACAATCACCATGGAGGGAATTAGTCCAGTTGGTTCCATCAAAAATCATTGTCAACTATGCAGATGTCAGGACGGTCTCTGTGTATGCTAGGCCTTTGTGTCTGACCAATGTATAACCATTTGCAATTTCCTATCCCCGTGGATTAAGAAGTTTCTAGAAAATACCCACCATGCCTTCACTGGGGTCATAGAATCGCTGAATGAGCTGCAGTGCCGTGCTTTTCCCAGCTCCACTGGATCCTACCATAGCTGTCATTTCCCCTGATTTAATGACCATGCTTAAGTTATTTAAAATCTGCAGAGAAAGGAAAAGACCAATGTTCAGATTGCTGTCAATTAGGCTACAAGTTAGAATGCTTTGTGAGGACACTGTGTATGTGTTTACTTATGCCCTCACAGCAATATCCACTGATTTCCCTCAATAACCAGAAAAATTAGTAAATAATGCCTAGGATGTGGTTTTAGCATTTAGCACATTACTTAGTAATAAACTGATAGCTGTAACTAACAAATAAAACACTGTTGAAGTAAATAAGCCAGGCCGAATTTGAAAAGTATGTTCTAGAATCTAATTTAAAATGTTTCTGACACGTCAGGATACCTCAAGGAGACTGTCCCAATTAGCTTAGGGGAGAAAGCCACTTAGCAGTAGAAGACTTTATTAAAACAAACTACTGGCATTGGGGATAGAAGATAAAACAGAAATGACATAAATGTATTTCAATTCAACCGGTATTTGCTGAACAGCTATTATGAACTAGCTCCGAACAGATATTATAAATGAAGCTTTCAGTCATCTGTTCAAAAATCTTTACTGAGTAAGTACTACCTTGTGATCTATATTTCACAAAGCACTTTTACATATGTTGACATTTAATGTTTATATATATATATATATATATATAGTGCTACATTACAGTAATCAAAAATATACTTCAGAAATGTTATCAGAATATATGTAACTATGTTTTATATACAGATATGTATGAGGTGTGTGTGTGTGTGTGTGTGTATATATATATATATATATATATATACACCTACAATATAAGTATGTAGTATTAGAATTAAGTTGCATGGGATTGAGTTCTGTGGGGGTAATAGAAATAGTATTAAGAAAGGGTAGCTAACTATGGAAAACAGTACAAAGTTTCCTCAAAATATTAAAAATGGAACTGCCATATGATCCAGCAATTTCACTTCTGTGTATTTACTGGAAGAAAACAGAAACAATAATTTGAAAAGATACATGCATACCAGTGTTCATTGCAGTATTATTTACAATAGCCAAGATATGGAAGCAACCCAAGTATCCATCGATAAATGAATGAAGAAAATGTGGTATACACATATAAACACACACACACACACACACACACACACACACAAAATGGAATATTACTCAGCTCTCCATTTGTGACAACATGGATAAATCTAGAAGGTACTATGCTAAGTGAAATAAGTCAGACAGAGAAAGACAAATACTGTATGATCTTACATGTGGAATCTAAAAAACAAAATAAGCAAACAAGCAAAACAAAATGAAAATAGACTCAGAGATACAGAGAACAAAGGAGTGGTTCCCAGAGGGGAAAATAAGTGAAGGGGATAAAGAAGTACAAGCCTGCAGCTATAAAACAAAGGCACGTGGATATAATATACAGCATAAGGAATATGGTCAATAATATTGTAATAACTTTGTATGGGGACAGATGGTTACTAGACTTATCATGGTGATCATTTCATAATGTATGCAAATGTCAAATTGCTATGTAGTATACGTGAAACCAGCACAATATTGTACATCAACTACATTTCAAATAAAAAAATAAAAAGAAAGGGTGGCTAAAGATACTCTTTAAAAATGAGGGATAAGTCTCCTCCCGAAGCCAGTTCATTTGGGGAGTAGATCCTAGTTTTCCTGTGGGGTAAATTGGCTTTAAAGATATTTGCTCAGTAGGTGCGGGAAAACTGTAAATTTTCTTCACCATGTGCCCTGGACAATCACCTAGTACAAGACATGTGACCATAATATCACAAGATTGCCTTTCCTTCAGGGACGGATCTAGAGATCCTTGTGAACTTATGGATAGGAAATAAAAAACGTCAAAGACAGCAGCTTTCCTTTGCCACTTCATACCCTACCCACTCAGTGTCCCGCCTCCTGCAGGCTTTAAGGAGGTGGTTGATAAGCCATCCTTCTGGATTGTTCTGATCGTTTTGCAGTTTGTTTAGCTTGTACTCACAGTGACAGGATCTGCTACTCATCTTAACAGAGCATCACTCAGTTGACTTAACCTGAATGTGCTACCAGACTGTGTTCCCACCAGAGAGATTTGCATATATTATTATCACAAGGAATATGGTTTGTGGCCTGAGGAATGACAAGACACCTGAGGTCACTTCCAGAGAAACGTGTCTCCCTGCCTTGTTCCTGGAAAATAAGTCACGCTTCATGAAAACAATTATTCTGTGGCTCTGGAAATGAATCATCAAAGAAGAAATTGGCACTTACCTTCACCTCTGGTCTGGAAGGATAGTGGAAGGTCACATTATGGAATTCAATTTCACCCTTAATTCGATCCAACTTGTAACCATCTTCTGACATGCAGTCAATGAGGGGTTTCTGGAGTAGAATATAAAAGGAATATAGCAACAGCATGTATTATATCCATTTACTGTCCATCTCACTTTGAACTGATTCATAAAACAGAACAACAACCAGGTTAAACACTGCAGTGATATGCCAAAGATAAGTTGCTTCCACATTAAATATGCACTAATGATAGTAATAATATTCACTACCATTCGCCGAGAAATTAATGTGAGATTATTACTATTGTAATTACTATTACTATATAGTAGTATTAATATATTACATATATTTATATATAACTTACATAAATAATTAAACTTACATAAATAAACTTACATAACTAATTAATATAAATAACTTACATAAATAATTAATATACAACTTACATAATAATTAACTTACTTAATTATTACATACATAAATAATTAATATACTTACATAAATAATTAATAAATAACTTACATAAATAATTAATATACAATTAATTATAATTAATATAAAATGTCAATGATCATATAATTGGTATAAAATATTATCACATTAATTTAATTAATTAGTATTTACTGTATACTACTATGATATATTATTACATAATGACAATAAAATAATATAATAGGTTGGCCAAAAAGTTCGTTTGGGTTTTTCCATAGATGTTATGGAAATATATAGTATTGATGTATAATTAATATATTAGTATATAATATATTGATATTATTATGGAGTATTGTACATTGAGATACCACAGAAGACAATGTACAAGGTGTTTTAATATGCTGTTTTCATTTATGTAATCATCACTGTAACCTAACTAGACAGGTGATACGCCCATTTGTTCACTTGAGGAAGCAGAGGCATCTCAAGAGGCCAGGGTCCAGTAGTACCCAACATTTAAGTATCTATTGTAGATGATGATTAAAACTAACGTTCTCAAGTGGTGTCTTCAAATATACCAACTTCCAACTGACATGCTGAATTCCACCTCTGTTGTTGTTAGTGGTGAGCCTAATTCAGAACTTAACCATGTTGTTAGGTCATCAGACAAGAGTGAGGGTCATCTCCATCTACCAGAACATTCCAGGGTCCCTCTCCCTCACTAGTGAGAGAAATTCATCATCATATCTCTATTTGGGGCTACAGTGTCATCTATTTCTTCTTCTTTGGTCTCTAGTAAAAATAATAAAATAATTTTTAAATGCCTTAATTTTTTGTAATCGTTTCAGGGGCCTCTCAGACTCGTCATCTTACTTGAGCATGCAACAACCCTAAGAATGAGGTAGACTTTGGATAGCTCTATGTGGTTTTCAACAATCTTTTTATACCCCAATAAATGAAACCCCAAAATATAAAACAACATATTGCCACCTCCCCTCTTCTGTTCTTGAATTTTTACCTCTCTAGCCTGACCACTGATGTCCTTCAATAACTTAGCCAGGGAAATCCTAGCCAGGCTGCCAGGGTCCTTTACAAGCCTGTAGACTTTCTGTCACATTTAGAAGTTAATCTAATCTTACGAACTTGGTCTTAAAGTCCTGCATGATCTGGCCCCTTCCCATTCCTCCAGCCTCTGTCTCTTGCTCACTCTGTTCAGTCACACTGACTTTTAGTTCCTTGCACTCACCAAGCCCTTTTCCAACCTGGAGATCTCTTCCATGGATACCTCCCTGCTCTCACCTCTCAGGCATCTCCCCTCCCACGAGTCCCCTTTTGCATGGCTGACTCACCTCCTTCGGTTCTCAGCTCAGAAACGGTGTCACTGTCACTGTCACTCAATTTATTGAGTGATGGATTGTCACTAAATCCATCCCCTATCCCAACCACTATCACACTGACCTATTTTATTTCCTTGCTTTTACTTATCACCATCTAATATTATCTTATCTTTGAATGTGCCTACTTCGGTATTGCCTATTTCCCATATGATATGAGAGCAGGGGCCTTATTTGTTCTATTTCACTCTTGCACTGCCAGCTCAGAATGGGGTCTGGCTCATGACAGCACTTATTTAAGTACTGCTGAATTAAGGGCATTGTTATAGTTTCTCATAGTTTTTAACATTGAGGATAAATTCCTCGTGAGTTCATTCCTCCCCCCAGCCCCAACCTGCTAATGGCCTTTACTTTTGGCTTTTACATACCCGGTCCATTGTCTCAAAAATGCTGGTGGCTGCCGCACGGCCAGCTGCAAAGGCTTCCAAACAGGAAGAGGCGTTGCCAAGATTTAAAGCTCCTACTATGACACTGAGGAAAATCTGTAATAAAAAGAGACAAACATAGTTTCCATCAATTTGTAAATAGTCTTCACTGTCATTTGGGCTGCCCAAGTGAACTCAAAGATTTCTCAGAAATATTCTTCTGTGGGAGTTTGAAAGCTAAATAGCTCTTTGGAAACACTAGGAACAGTTTTTGTTCTGCAAAGTATCTCCAATTTTTCTGCTGTTTTGATTTAAAAGACTACATTATTTTTGACTGAACATCACTATTCTACAAAGAAGAACATGTTTTTAGATCAGTAAGAGGTCTAAACAAGGCAGCACATAGACACTGAGTGGGTTAGAGTAGTGATACGATAATTGATTCATTATATAAACAGCCTTATAATGTTAAAGACTTCTGGTTAAAGGGTTGTTGAAATGATAAAGACACTGTGATTAGCTTGATTGTCCTAGAGACTGGTACATGCAAAATATGCCTACTACTACTGCTATATTCCTGCTACTAGTGAACTAGTTTTTAGGATAACTACTGCTATACTACTACTAGCAATAATAACAATAATAGTAAGGTATGTGTTTAAGTGCTCTACTCGTATTACTTCATTTAATCCTTACAACAGAAGAGGAAACAGAGGTGTATGGAGGCTGCCTAACTTACCCAGTGTCTCAACGTGTATTAAGGGGTAGAGCATTATTTGAATCCAGGCTCTTGATTGACATTTTGTCCAGCTCCCAGGCTCATCTACTGCTGCTGCACACAAGTGGAGTGGCCAGGTTCCTGTGCAGAGCTGGTGAAGCTCTTCTTTGACTCACCAACCTGGCCATCTCATTAAGTTAGGGGAAGGCTACCTGATCATGATCAGATGTTCCTACCCAACAGCACTCTGTTTTGCGTTTTGTTTTGTTTTTAACATCTTTATTGGAGTATAATTGCTTTACAAGGATGTGTTAGTTTCTGCTTTATAACACAGTGAATCAGTTATATATATATATATATCCCCATATCTCCTCCCTCTTGCGTCTCCCTCCCTCCCACCCTCCCTATCTGGTCACAGAGCACCGAGCTGATCTCCCTGTGCTATGCGGCTGCTTCCCACTAGCTATCTATTTTACATTTGGTAGTGTATATATGTCCACGCCACTCTCTCACTTTGTCCCAGCTTACCCTTCCCCCTCCCCATATCCTCAAGTCCATTCTCTAGTAGGTCAGCACTCTGTTTTTAATCAGTGCTGTTTATAAAGAAGCAAAGAGGCAATTCCTCATGTTGGCCTCTAGGAGAAGCACAAGACTTCACCCTCTCAACCAAAGAATGAGCTTTAGTCATGTGACTCACATGGAGGCTGTTTCGTTGGCCACCATGTATTGAGGACTGGAGTTATTTTCTGAGCTAAAATAAAGGTTGGCACCTGCATGAATGTAGTCTTTTTCGGGTAATCAAATGAACCTAGTCTGTAGTGGTTTCATGAGCTGGATTCTTCCCATGGGTTATAGCACATCAGGGCAAAATACCTGAGTCCCTCCCCATTCTCTTTCTCCCTTATGGCTGGACCATGGGGCTTCTCAAAGCCAGTCAGGCATCTCCTCCCTCTCAGTAACCTCTCTATTCCATATATCCAGATGCTGTGGGCCAGCTCCTTCTTGCCTTCTCCCTGAATTCTCTACTCTATGCATGGGGACAAACATTCTCTCTTCAACTGTCCTTCATCTGTCCATCTGTTCTTTTCCTTAATTATGGCAGGTACTTCCTCCCATTGGCAGATTACTTACTCTCTCAAGCCCCAGTAGTTCATTATCTGTAACACAGGGGATAATGATCGCATATACCTCAAGGGATTGTTATGAGAAGTAAATGATAATGTGTGTAAAGGTGATTAATCCAATGTCAGCCACATAAATAATAGTGGTGATGATGATGAAAGAAGTGAGATTCCACACTTAGGAAGTGAGAAGATGAACAGACAGAGCAGTACTTGTGGTCTAATTTGTGTTAAGACCACCCTCATCAGAGGTCTTTCTAACTGAGCAAAAGAAGCCTTCCACATGTCCTAGTTCAGGGGTCAGTAAACACTTTCTATAAAGGGCCAGTTAGTAAAGAGTTTAGACTTTTTAGGCCATATGGGCTGAAGCTATTATTCAACTCAATTCCTCGACTATGTAGTACAAAAGCAGTCATAGATGGTAGGAAATGAATGACTGTGGCTATGTTCCAATAAAACTTTATTTATAAAAACGGGCCACAGGCTGGATTTAACTTGTGGGCCACGGTTTGCTGATTCTAGACCAACTCACTAGTGGCCTGAACTGAAGTTTAGAGTCAAACCCTTGCTCAGCCTGGCTTTGCAAGCACTACCTCAAGCAAACATCTCTCTCGGGGTCCTCAGGGAAAGAGGGAGTGAGACAGACAGAGGTACACATCCTAATACCATCGCAGTAGCTAGCACACATCATTTCTCACCCCAAATATCTCACCCTTCAGCCCTGTGGACTGTGGTGTGGGAAGAGGGAGGGCAAAAGAGACCTCTGGGGAATAATTTATCTGTGGGTGTGCTGTGCTGGAGAAAAGGGGATCTGTTCATAGAAAATAAACTTATGGTCACCAAATGGGAGAGTGGGGGAGGGATAAATTAGGAGTTTGGGATTAATGGATACACATTACTATATATAAAATAGATAAACAAGGTCCTACTGTATATCACAGGGAATTATATTCAATATCTTGTAATAACCTATAATGGAAAAGAATCTGAAAAAATATATATATACATATACATATATAAAAAACGGAATCACTTTGCTCTACACCTGAAACTATCACAACATTGTAAATCAACTAGAGTTCAATTAAATAAGTAAATAAATAAATTAAATTAAAAGGGATCTGTGGCCCCTTGGAAGAGATTCAGAAACAGGAAAACAGTAGTTAATGGGTCAAGCCTCAGAGTCACAGGGATCTGAGCTCAAATCCCACCCTGTGCTATCTGGCATATATTTCTCAACCTCATGGCTCCATTTCATTTTTAACTGGTAGCATAATGGCATCAATCACAGAATGAAGTTGTGAGTATTACACATGGTAATTATATTAAATACTTCACTCAGTGCTTGACACCTTGTATACACTGAATAATGCTCCTTTCTATTACTGCTGTTAGTTTTTCATTATCAAGTCCTAAAACTTAAGAGGGGCATGAAAGAGCAGCCATCAGCACCATTCAGTTCCCTTTCATCTTTTTTTCGTAATAGATCATAGAGTCTGTTTTTTGTCCATGTACAAGTGATACTAATTACAGTCATTTATGTGAAATACTTACCATTTATGCCCAATTACCGTGCAGCCAATAATGATTTTGTGCATCACAAAATGTGTTAGATTAACCTAATTGTTAATTAGTTTAATGCATTAAAAACACTCAACTCAGCTTATGCAAACTCAGCCTTTATAGTTTGTTGCTCAGAGCATGGCCAAAAAAGTGCATGCACGCTCAAGAGAAAGAGAGAAAGAGAGGGAGAGAGAGAACCACAAAGGGAATGCTTACCAATGATTATACTGTTAAAGAATGTCTCTCATCTTCCCAAAGAAAAGTTTCTTAAGATGTAAGTGGAGGCTTGCAAGGAAAAGTTTAGGAAAAGGAGGTGAGGTTAGTTATTGATGATTAAAATGTTAGAGACACATAGTGTGCCATGTCTGCACATAGTAAGTACTCAAGAAATATCAGTTGAGAGAAGGAATTCTTTACAGAAGGTATAGAGTAGCCTATAATCCAACGGGCAGGAAACTTGAAGGTAAGAACTTGTTCAATGAGTTAAACAAGGACGCCGTTAGACCGAGGTGGCTTTAATGCCACCTAATGTGGCAGCCTACATAAGCGACCAGAACCTAAGCCTGCATGCCTCAAGGCTAAGAAATCAAAACCTAAGGACAACCAATCAGCTAATTAGGCTTTCCCCAGTAAGGCAACTACTTAAGCTACAGTTAATCAAATGATTCCTTTGCTTTGCTTCCTCCTCTTCTCTATAAAAGTGTTTCCCCTAGCTTTTATTAATAGACCCCCTCTAACCACTTCTGGTTTGGTGTGCCCAACAGGAATTATTTTTTCTCAAACAAACTTCTAAAAATTTTAATATGCCTCAGTTTATCTTTTAACAGAACCATAAAATTGGATCTTCGCTGAAGAGAGTTACCAAGGGTAACTCAGTGGTAATTCAGTGATTCCAACTGGAATTGTGTATTTTCAATACCATTTTTTCATTTTGCCCTCTGAACCGTTATTTGTACACACTTCTGTCCCCTCCTTGCAGGCAAGGAATCAAAAGAAGAATGTCTTTTCTCAGTGCATATCTTTCTGCAGAGCGAGCAGATACAAGCTGCTGAGACTAAAGTCAACTACTGGTATTTCTAGTTTGGTAAAGCTGAAAGTTCTTAAGAATCATTAGGTCAATAAAGACAAAGGACTTTACAGTCAGATTTTAGACCTGCAGTACTTTCACTGGCTTTTCAAATGTGCAAAGCTATATTAAAGTTATTAAGAAAGTGGTTAAATTACGATAATAGTAACACTTTCCATCTATGCTATCCCTTTAAGGTTTACAAGACATTTTAACATGACTTGTCATATTTAATTTTTTTAAACAAACTTCAAATGATGCCAGCTGTTTATCTTTCAAAGAAAAACTGAATTTTAAAAAGTCATTCTTCGTGTATTACCATGCTCTTAATGAAATAAAGTCAGTGCCTTAGAGTGATTATGGTCTGACCTCTAATAATCATTTCTATTTGCAAGTGGAATTTCTATTCAACTTTCCCTAGATATGTATTTATATGAAAGCAGTAGGTCTTAAATTGCAGGCTTCTGGCTAGCAAATTTCTGGTGCACAAAATTTTGGTATTTTGCATTATTTAATTGATGCCTGTCCTACCTAGAATCTGGAGCCAAAATATATTTTTTTAAGACTCTTATATGAAACCACTTCCATGCTTTTTAAATTAATATAATTTATTGAATAATTAACAGACCAAATGGAACATATATTTCATGTTTTACCTCCCTGACCTCATGGAGCTTACTGTGTGAGGGTGGGAAGGGACAGGAACAAATGTAAATAAATGCAAGTGTTCAGATTCATTCAAGGACTCTAAAGGAAAAGTTCAGCAAACCATGCAGGAGAATAAAAGATTGGATGAGCATGGAAGACCTAACTGGGGAAGTGCCATCCAGTTGGGAATTTGAACAATGACAACAGTCTAACTGTAAAGAGAGGTGCTGTAAGCTAAGAAGGGAAAGGTGAGCGGAAGAAAGAGCTTTCCCTGACCCCATCCACACCTGCTATTCACTGTCGAGGTCCCTGTCCTCTGCAGCATATAATACCATCGTCATTACGCATTATGTGATTATTTATTGTTTAGCTTCCCCACTAAACTGTAAATTCCATCAAGGCAAATATCACATTTTTTTTGCTCACTACCGAATTCTCTACACTTTGTGTGAGTCTGGCATATAGTAGATGCTCAATAATTAATTCTTGAAAGGACAACTGAAAAGATACTGGAAATTAAAGTAGCCAAGGCGTTAGCTATAGCATGGCTACAGTGCAAGTGAGAAATAAAATATACTTGTATTACCTGTTCAGTTGAGGATATTATTGGCTTTGTATTTTAGTAACTATGAGTGAGTGTATTTAACAACTATGTCCATTAGCACATATCTTATGCCATTATTAAGCTCAACCACATAAGCTGTTAATTTTTAGCTAGGAGATCCCTGACTTTCCATTTTCATCTTTTGGACTCAATCAGAAAAATCATTGTTTTACAGCTATAATATCTTCTGTTGATTGGAAAGCATGAAATCACGAGGCTCATGAACTCAAATGCTCAGCATCCCTTTACTATAAAAGGCACAAGTATTGCTGTTTCAACAGATGGACTCCATCAAATCGTTGAGGCTTTCCTCCTTCAGACACTAACGGGATAAACAGAATGCCTTCACTGTGGACTTTTCTGAGATACCGGCAGGAAATGTTCTGTCTAGGTCATCAAGACGGAAGTACCTGGACAAGGGTTCCTGCTGTATATTCTCCATCATCCAGGACGAGTCTGGAACCGTACCAGAAGGCCAGAGCGTAACACAAGAAGATGAGACACCACATGAATCCAGTAAAGAATCCCATCACTATCCCTTTTCTAATTCCCCAACGCTGGGCAAACACAAGATTTTTCTCATACCTGTGAACAGAAAACATTTGAGTCTATTTCAGCAACAGCAACAGCAGCAGCAGCAGTTCAAGTTAAAATGTTTAGAACAGGCCACAATGCAGTGGTTTTAATCAATGCTTATAAAATCATTCCAAACACAGAGCAGCTATACAATAACGCCTGTATAGTTCCTGTATAGCAGCTATACAATAACGCCTGTATAGTTCCTTAAAAGTTGCTTCAACCTGGCAGTGACAATGTGTTGAAAGGATGATGCCTAACAAAGCCTCATAGTTGATTACCTCTTGGATGAGTACAGTGGGGTAAGCTTTGCCCCAACAGAAAAGAATTTTCAACACTAATATTTGACCATGAGGGGTCTAGTATTATTTGTGTTTGAATTCTCTCATTAAGTCACATGACATGAAAGATAATATCTTCCATAGTGGAGGAAATATACTAATGCAATGTTTTATGAGAAGTAAGGTAATCACTTCACAAACAAAAGAAGCAAAAGAAAAAAAAATGAAAAGAGGATAATCAGAGGTTGTAAATCCTATTCTCTTTTTCATTTGGTGAATTTGGTAGCAACTGAGAATGTGATCATACTAGATCTACAACATACGCAATAAAAGTTTAGTTAAGTTGGTGGCTGTTTTATAAAATCAGTACCTGGCACCTGATAAGCACTCAACAAATACTAGATAAATGGAAGAATAAATAAAATCAAAGTTTTGACAACTGTGTTGTTTTGGTCATTTAGGTTTTGATTTCCATTAACAGTTAATCTCCTAGAATGATGGTCTATAATATATCAATGCTAAATGTTATTTGATTAAATGGAAATCTTAGACTTAGAAAGAGCATATAGTACAGTAGCTGAATAAAACACATTGAATAAAAAAGTGCTCAATTGGGCTTCCCTGGTGGCGCAGTGGTTGAGAGTCCGCCTGCCGATGCAGGGGGCGCGGGTTCGTGCCCCGGTCCGGGAAGATCCCACATGTCGCGGAGCGGCTGGGCCCGTGAGCCATGGCTGCTGAGCCTGCGCGTCCGGAGCCTGTGCTCCGCAACGGGAGGGGCCACAGCACTGAGAGGCCCGCATACCGCGGAAAAAAAAAAAAAAAAGTGCTCAATAAAAAAGTGCAAAATTGCATTTTAGATCAGGTAGGCTTTTCCTTAATGTCAGAAGACAGTGTTTTAGGCTGGCATGAAGTATGGTGTATGTACACACACACCATCAGAGTTTGAAACAAATATCCAACCTAAGATGGCTTTCTAAAAGCCACCAACTGCACCATCTTCAAGAACACAGAGCTAAAGTCTTGGGAGTCTTTTGCAGGTGCTTTGACCAATCTAATTGCTTAGCTTAGCCACCTCTTGAACAAAAGCTCCCTCAGGGTACCATAGCAAGGTGAATCTGAGACTTTATACAAAATGGGGAAGATTCAGGGTAGTATGCAGATCAACAAAGTTCAGGAAAGTGGCAGACATTTCAATTAACTAACCTTTCAACCTCTTTTTTCTCACCACCATAAGCAGCCACTGTTGGAATAGATGAGATGACTTCATCAGCCACTGCCCCTGCTTTGGCATAGGCCCTCAATTCACGGTCTGTAAACTTGGACACACTCTGAAGTCCAAACGAAAAAAATAAAATGTAAAGACCAGATAATTAGGTAAGTCACTCCGCCATTCATTGATTCATCTAGCAGAGCAAACATGTAGCACAGTTTAATACAAGACTAGATTCCCACTGGAACAGCGTTCACCGAGGAAAGAATTTGGTCCAAGTTTGAGCCATGTTAAGCCTCATCCATGGGTGTTTGGTTGTTGACATATTAAAATGACTCCATTAAAAGTCAGCCTCAACGAAACTTCTCACAGAGTATGTACTAAATAGGGCATTCTATGTGACCACAGTGTTTCAGTCAACATATTAATGACGTTTTCAAGTCAAACCATGTCAGAGTTCATTGCTATTGTCCAAAGGCCATGTCACAGTTTACAGACAAATACCACATGCAAAGACCAGAGGCCCATGCAGGTGTTGTCATATCATTAGAATATAGAATAAGGGAGAGGTTCTGAGCATGCAAAGGCATATGCAGCAGAGGTAATTCCATAGGAGAAAGCTTCAGATAAATATTACACCACTTGACTCAACTGTAGGGACTCAACTAACTAGTTTTGCTTTTTACAAAAGGAAAGAAAAAGACATTGCACTTAATATTAAACAAGTTAAGTTTTTCTAAAATTGGACCTGGATTGAGTCCTAGTTAGAATCAACCACCAAAGACTTCCCTGGCACAGATTAAGAAACAAGAAGGGGAAAAAGCAAATGTTGTGAAAGATTAACTGGCTCAGAAACCTAAAAATATATATAGTACCCAGACTAAGGAAGTTTATCTTCCAAGTTTTTCCAAACTTTTAGCAGCAAAACCCTTATCAAACAAAATCTTAGACAGAATTTTAACATATAAGTAAAAGTGGTATTTTATTACAATATATTTATTTCACAAGTCCACATTTTATAAATCTTGTGAATTGAAAGGCAACAATAAAGGATAGTAAGGCTATTTTAATCAACATTAAAATTTGACTTTGGATGGTATGGCAGTTTTTACCACAATCCTCTTCTAATTTACTTCTGAAATATGTAATGAGCATAGTAATGAGAAAATTAAGTAGTTGCGAATGTTATCAGTTTTTATTGTAATGGTACATTAAAGAATCTCTTGATACTTCAATTAAACTGATATAGGAACTTAAAAGATGTATATTGGGAAATATCTAACAGTTGTTCATGTTTCCCACTGTAGGTATATAAAAGTCATACAAAGGCATACAAAACCTATGATCAGTTCTAATATGTCACATTCTAATATGTCATATATTGCCCCCTCCACCTTTTTTTGTCCTGCTTTTGAATTGAGCTTAGTGAAATTGCTCGTATCATTTTACACAAACATGCACACACCTGAATTCAAGAAGAAACAAGTGCAGAGCTACAACATTCCAAATCGGTGACACATTTACAAGAAGTTGAAATATGGACACTGAGACAAGAGAAACTGTGCTTTGAGCCTATTTGAAATCAAGTTAACCAGTTTATGTTGTTGGTCTCCAACATGTTAAAACGTGACATATTATCCATTTGAGTGTGAATATTAATCTTTTGTGGGTTTGAAGAAAGAGATTAAATTTTTTTGGAGGGAAAAAAATGCTGAATCAAATGTTTGCAGACTCCCCAGTGACCCTCTGTGGAAGTTGAGGCTTCCCTGGAGTGCAGCTGAAAAGCATTTGGTAGGAAAGACTGTTGTAAAACTTGCATGATTTGGTGGATTGGGAAAAAAACAAAAGCTAATATCTCTTTAGTAATTAATTCTGTGCCAGATGCTATGCTAAGTGCATAACAAGGATAATGCCTTGAGTCATCACAATGACTTCGGGAGGTACTAACCTTATTTTAAAGATGAGGAAACTGACATTTTGACGAGTTGAACATATCTTTCTTGAGCCAGGTGGTAGAGCCAGGTGGTGGCCTAGTTAAGTAGAATGAGCTCTTTGCTATTGTCACTCTGTATTACCTGGGAAACATTTGAGTAATACAGCCAGTGGAGTGTAGAGAGTATTTTGCTAGAAAATACAGTCATGGAGATCGGTACCTGTTGCTCAATGATGTGAATGTATGTGCAGCTTTTCACTTAAATTCTATTCTCATTTACAGCAAATTATTAGTGTGCCTGACCCCATGACCTGTTATCTAATGTGGCTACTCTAAAAGTAAAATAGTAAAATTTCTCAATCCTTGGGAGTGTTTTTTAACTGGGATGACCCCAAATTCCTACTCCTATACTTTTTCTTGGCCTGCATATCTGGGGAATGGAAACTGTGACTGGGATACTTCTCTGAATGGGTCAGATAACCCTCTCTCTGAAACTGATCAGATGGAATGGAGAACACAGTGTAATTGCAGAAATCTCTTTTATTTGTTGGGCCTTTCTGAGGGAAGCATCTGAACTTGGGAGACCACGGGAAGCCACAGGCACACTGCAGAGTGAGTGGGGATTTAGAATCAGGCTTCCTTGAATTTGAATCCTATTCTGTCATTCACTGGCTGTGCAGTTCCAGACAAGTCCCTTTACCTCTCTGAACCTCCATTTCTTATATTTAAAATGGCATTAATACTTTATAAGATTGTTGTAAAATTAGAGATCATGTCCTTGAGGCTCCTAATACTGCCTGGCAAAATAGTAAATATTCAATTAACGTAGTTGTTATTGTTATTAATACAATAATATTTGTGTTATTAAAACATTATTAATCCCTAATCTAATAATGGAATGTTATTTGATACTGAGTAATAATCAAACAAAATAAATCAAAATGGTGATAATGATGTTGACTAAACATACTCAGGAGAAGGGAATCAAGCTTCACATTTTTGGCTGTTTCTCAGTGCAAAAGTCTTCCCATGGAGAGAAGTGAGAAGACATTCTTACCAGACCAATGACGGCTGCTCCAATCCCAATGAGAGGGCTGACAGAGATAATAACCAAGGTCAGTTTCCAACCCCGGTAAAATCCCAGCAGGAACCCACAGACGCTGGTGGTCATGCGCTGAATGAAAATGGCCATTTGGTCGGCAATGGCATCATTGATTTTGTTAATATCACTAGAAACAAGAGAGGCTTTGGTCACTAAAACTGAATTTGGTCAATTCAATATCTTGCTGAGAAAGTACAATCTTTCCTTTCTAAACACTCCTATTTCTGTACCCCATTGCCCTTGGGAAACTTAATAGCTTCTCACATCTTGGAAATTTTGCTGCAGCTTGGGAGGGCAGCAAGCCTCTCTCCTCATAGCCAAGGGAGTGTGTCCTTAATCCAGTTTTCCTGACTGGTGTTCATTCAACATAGGCAAAGACTTTTGGAAACCCTCTTATTTGTCCCTTTCTTTCTTAAAGCTAATATCCTTGGTTTGTCCTAAACAGCCCTTCTTTCCTTTATACCTGCTAAATCTTTTCAGCCTCAAGGTTCTACTCACATACCACCTATTTCATAAAAATTTATACAATCCCCCAGGGAGAAGTAATAACTTCTTTCCTGTGTTACCATAGCAATGTAATTAATCTGTATACATGTGTATATGTATGTGTATGTAATTATTGCTTTCTGCTTATACGCAGCATAGAATTGTGGTTAACAGCACAGACTCTGGAGCCAGACTCTGAATTTAAACACAAGCTGTTCTTGGGCAAGTTACTTGGCCTTTCTGTGTCTCAGTTTCCTCATCTATAAAATGCGGATAAAAACAGAACCTACCTCAGTCGGTAGCAGTGAGGATTAGTTAATACACGTAAAGTATTGGGTTGGCCCAAAAGTTCGTTCGGGTTTTTCTGTAACATATGGAAAATCCGAACGAACATTTTGGCCAACCCAATATGTAGACCAGTGCCTAGCATATAGTAAACAATCAATGTATGTTAGCTCTGATTATTTGCTTGAACCC